ATTCACAACGTTAGTGACCGCAATTTCTGTATTATCCTGTTCTACAATAGTGGCCTGGTATTTAAAAAACGTGAAGGAGATGACCTCCTTTCTGCTCCAGGACTACTGATACCACATGGGACACTAGTACAGTAATCTTTTGTCCCAAAGTAAATTTGCAAGCCTCTTTAATATTTGTGATATGAAGCTCCTACCATCAGTAAACCAAGAATCAGCATCTTCCAGAGGTTTTTCTTTTCAAGTCTGGTCGGCTCGAATATACAGTCTCTATGGTGGTCAAGCAGTTGTGTGTTAGTGGTTCTGTCGATTGTTCCTGCAAAAGGATGCTGGATTCACAACGTTAGTGACCACAATTTCTGTATCATCCTGTTCTACAGTGGTAGCCTGGTATTTAAAAAAACATGAAGGAGATAACCAGTGGGCTCCTTTCTGCTCCAGGACTGCTGATACCACATGGGACACTAGTACAGTAATCTTTTGTCCCAAAGTAAATTTGCAAGCCTCTTTAATATTTGTGATAACTGCTGCCATAGCTTTTAGGCATCTGGGCCATCCTTTGCTCTCTTCATGCAGCTGTTTTGAAAAATAGGCCACTGCCCTTCTGTAGGGTCCTAGTTTCTGAGCAAGGACCCCCAAAGCTATTCCCTGTTCTTCACAGGAATATAGCCAAAAGGATTTAGTCACATCCAGGAGTCACAGAGCTGCAGTTCTCATTAGATCTGTTTTAAATTTCTCAAAACCCCCTCTGCTGTATCAGTCCATTCTAAAGAGGGAGAGTTTCCTTTCAACAGTTCATATAGTGGTCTTACCAGAACACCATAATCATGGATCCAAAGTCTGCACCATCCAGTCATTCCCAGGGATGTCCGGAGCTCCTTGACGGTCTATGGTCTTGGAGTCTGGCAAATGGCTTCTTTTCTAGCAGTTCCAAGTTGTCTCTGTCCTCCTGTTATTTCATATCCTAGGTAGGAAACTTGGGTTTGGGTTAGTTGGGCCTTTTGTCTGGATACCCGATAACCATTCAGTCCCAGAAAATTTAACAATTCCACTGTCCACTTGATACATTCTTCCTTTGTTTCTGTAGCAATTAACAGGTCATCCACATATTGTAACAGAGTCCCGTTTGAGTAGGTGGCTTCCGTGATTCTAGTTCTCATGCTAGCTGATTTCCAAAAATTGCCGGACTGTTTTTTTTTAACCCTTTAGGTAATACTGTCCAAGTTAATTGAGTTTCCCTTCCTCTGTCAGGATTTTCCCATTTGAAAGCCAATAATTGTGGCTTTCTTTGGCCAATGGTAAGCAAAAGAAAGTGTCCTTTAAATCCAGGACGGCAAACCATTTCTGATTATTATTCAATTTAGTCAGTCATACGAATTAACTCCTACTGGACGAATATCCTCTGCAATTTTGTTGATTGCCCTGAGATCGTGAACCAATCTGCAACTTTTCTCATCATATTTCTTTACTGTCCAGATAGGAGTATTATATTCCGATTCACATTCAATTAATAATCTATATTTTAAAATTTATCAATTTTTTTTTTTATTCCCTTTGATCTTCTAATTTTAAGGGATACTGTTTTATTCTAATTGGGTAGGCCCCCCTTTTTATTTCCACTTTAACAGGCAAAGCATTTTTCGCCTTACCTGGAACTTCAGGTGCCCATACTCCCACATATACCTGATTAAGGATTTCTTCTATTTCAGGGAGGTCCTCCTTTTTGCTTTTCTGTTGAATTAAACTCAAAACTGCAATTAATTGTTTTTAACTCTGAATTCCATTTTGCCTTCTTTAAATGTTGCTTCTCGCCCTAACAAAGATTTTAGAGAATTTGGCATGCATAAAAATTTATGCATTCCTATTTGTTTTCCCAATTTGTACTTTAAAGGTTTCAGAAAGAATGAATTTTTTTTTTTTTTTTCTTGGTGGCCAGTAGCTCCCACATCTGTAACGAATTCTTTTCTCTCTGATTTAACACCAAATAAGTTGCTCCTGTATCCACTAAAATTCCACTTTATTTCCTCTAGTCCCTAGTTTTAATGTAACCAGTGGATCTGCTAGGGTAGATTCCCCAGGTCCCCGTCAGTTTAGTTCCAGTTCAGTCACCGGAGCCACTCCATGGCACTGCCCCCCCCCCCAAGGCAGTCTCACTTCCAGCATCCAAAACCCCCCATAGCACGCACACCGGTCCGGTCCCACAGAAGAGAAGAGCCCACTCCCCCACCTCCTCCCGACATCCCTCCTCCCACGCTCAAACACAGGAGCTGCTCGAGCTCCCCTCCTTTCCCTCTTGGTTTTCCCTTTTTTTTTTTTCCTTTTCCTCACAGCAGCTCCCCCTGCTCTGCAGGCCTGCAGGTGCCTGCCTCTGCAACAGCGCTTCTGGTTTAACCCCTTCTTAACTCTGAATGTGAATGTGCCGCTTGTTGCCAGTGACAGAAATCTCTTCCTCCTTATCAATATCAGATAGGACAGAGGCAGAGGGTGCTCCTCTCGGAGGTACCTGTAGTACGTGATTTTCCACCTTATGTTCCTGATTACTGTTTTTTAACTTTAAACATCTTTCCCCAATATCACAGGCTGAGCATCTCCAGCTTAACTTTCAGTTTTTCCCTGTCCTTTTCCAAAGCCAAAATTAAGGAATCTGGCGGAGCTATATTAATTTTGCATTCAGTCTGTCACTCCGTGTGATTTCTTAAAGTGAAAAACATATCTGCATACATTACTTCATCCCATTTTCCTTACCCCCTTAAAACAACATTAATTGTAACACTGTATTATAGTTCAGAGTTCCATTTTTAGGCCATTTTTCCTGATCTTCCAAAGTATACAAAGGCCACCATTGGTTACAATATTTTACCAATATTTTCTTATTTACCAAGCCCCCAGGAGACCCTCCAAGTTTTTTCCAGTGTGCCAAAATGCACCCAAAAGGATTCTTTTTCAAGATCTCTTCACTCTGCTGATTTTCCATTATCAATCTCACATTCACACACACACAGACGGGATCCCCAGACATACTCCACACAGTTACAACACTTGAGACAAAGACAGAGACTTAAATTCAACCAAACAAACAACAGTTAATAACACAGTTATAATATCCTGTCACCAGTACCAGAATCACAAGACCAAAATCATTACTGTAACAAGCCACAAAATAGGCAAATACCAGTATAATCAAAAGCAATACTTCCTAACCCTTATAGCTCAGACCATATTGTAACATTAATAGGGGGGGTTTCCTTGAACCCTTTATAGTTGACCAGCCTGTCAGTGTCCCAGGAAGGATGAGACCCTTGTGTCCGACCAGCCTGTCTGCGTCCCACTGTGGGAACCATACTGAACAGCCCACTGTATCGGAGGGTGATTCTACTAACCTGCTCAGGGACCCACACTGACAGCATGACTGAATCAAATCCCTTATGGGCTGTTGATAGCACATTGGACCCAAAACCATTTCCACAAGACACCCCCCTGTGTCTTGTAGGACCTAAATCACAAGATGCCCCCTGCTTAGTTATAACAGTCTGTCACTGATACCAAAATCACAAGACCAAAATCCTTAATATAACAAGCCATAAAATAAATCAAATACCAGTAAAATCCAAAACCTTTTCTGCAAGACACCCCGTGTGTCTTTCAGGACCCAAACCACAAGAAGCCCCCTGCTTCTCGCGGGTGTATACAAACGGACACTAGCAGCCGGGTATACGCCTTTACGTATGAGATTTCTTATCTCGATTTACGGAAGGCTTCCAAACCATGCGTACGCTTACCAAGCCAATTTACCAAACCAAGTTACCAAACCGAGGTGCCCCCTGCACTTTACAGACTATACAAAAAAAGAATACCTTTTATGTGATGGTCCTTGTCTGCTGCCGCAGTGATCCGAATGAGTTGAGGGGTCCCTCCGGGAAAAATTCCCGAGGGCCCTAGGGAGCCCTGTCCTCAGCGGGTCCTGCAGCCGAGCAGAGAGGGTCCCGCCTGGGTCGCCAAATTGATTCGGAGAAAACTCCAGGAACGAACTTGCCAACAAAGTTTTCAAGCTGACAAGCAGGTATTCTTTATTGTGGCGCCGGGAGACACGGGGGATAACTCCTCCTAACGTGTGTCCCCGTATTGCTATACAAGCCATCCTTATATAGTCCCTGGGCATACATACATATTCATGAGGCTACGTATGGATTACATCATTTTTCAGAGAGTTCCCCGCATGCGTACAGAATTGTGGTGGTGGTCTCTGAGGGTTGTTTACTTCTTCCAACGATCTTCATCACTTCTGGCAGCCTTTGAAGCACGCGCAGTAGATGCTCATACCAGTTTAATTGGTTCGTTAGCACCAGAGACATAATAATCCTCCTGTCCTCCTACTTATCAGTTAGTTTAACTGTAGCCCATCCTGGACACCTGCCATTCCCAGATACTCCTTATCCCTGTGTCCTGTTCTTCCTGACTGTTTTTCTAAAAACTAGGCCAACTATAACGATTTATCTTGTGAGAATTCTCAGTATGTTCTCTAGTTGTACTCTATTTTTTTTTCACCCCAGTAATTTTCCATTGCTACTGTTACAAAGCCATCAAACTTAACATTACTTAAAACTACTTATAAAAGTTTCTATATCCCATTTTGTGATTTTGTGCCCCTTTGTCTCAAAACACCTGAATATAATTGTGGTTTTGCTAGTTTATTTATATGAAGATGATGAGTACATATGCATAAATTGACTTGATTCATCTCGTTGTCAACAAGCTGTTCCTCTGTAAAGACTGTCTCGAGTTCAGTCCTTTATCCTCATGGAACCTGAATCCCTTCGCCATACCACAGTACAGAGTCTGTCTCTTAAGTGAGGCTTTTGGGGAAAATGAGTTGCCAATTTAAAAACATCATGATGGTGCTTGATTTGATTACTTCTATATTCCTGTTGTTTGTCTTTGTGAAATAGCTCTTTATGTTATACCTTAACAATGTCACACCTGATGTTGATGTATTCCTGGTTTAACAGCCTATGAAAATGAAGACCATTTACTTTGGAAACCTGATGTGATCTCAGAAAGTAAAGTTAAAGAATACCTGTTTGAAACCTCCTTAAGAACAGGAAATGAAAACATGATATGCAGAATTCCTGAAGGACTACATACACGGGACAACGAACAAGTATGTTTTATATTGTGTTCTGTTTGTGATACATTGCTTTGTAATTAATGTGTTCTCTTTCTCTGCCTTGTGTTATAAAGCTAGTAATATTCAGTTCACCTTGGATGTTATTGGGGATGTTAAGCATGTACTTAAAGTTACAAGTATTTGAATGTTGGCAGTGTTGTGATCTGTGATGTTTGATTGCCATGCTGTTGACAAATCCAGCTTTTCTAATAATTTAATATAACATTTTACATTTGCTTAATTAAACCTTGCCTCACTTTTGGATGGTTTTGCTTTTGGTTGTTTTCAAATTTTCATCCTGTATAAAGATAAATCCTCTTTTTTACATTAGATATGCTCACTGAAAGGCTAGTTTCAGAAGTTTAGATTGGATATTGGGAAACTTTGACTCTTTCTAAAGATAACTTCTATTTTGTAGGCACTGTATGAACTTCTCAAAAGTAGCCATAATATTAAAGAAGCAATTGAGAGATACTGCTCAAATGGAAAGGCATCTCAGGGTAAGAGAGAGTACCTGCCTTTTAAGAAATGTGCATTTGGAGGAAAAAAAGTGTAGTAAAACCTTGAATAAGATTCAGATTGACAAGTACATATTTTTCAATGATATCTTTAGCACAGATTAGGTATAATCTGACTGTTGGACAGACTGAAACTTCTGCTAAAGAACTTTGCAACTTTTTTTCAAGGTTGTAGGATCAGATTTTATATCTTATCTTCCCTTTTCCTCCATTGCTGTTTTAAGAATGGCCCAGACTGAGAAGGATGGGTGGAGATAAGATTTTGCTCCCATAAGACAGTTAATACCACATTACAGTACCTTTTGAGATCATGATCAATTATAATTTGTTACTGTAAAAGTTGGTCAGAGAAACTCTCTAAGACTCAATTTGGAGTTTTAGAAAGCAGGCCTTCTTTATTGCAGCGCTGGGTGCACACATGAGCTGTTTCACAAAGGTGAGCGCACTTAATTGCTGGCAGCAGCTATATATTTAGCATACTCGTTCATATTCATAGATTTTCCAGGAACTAATTATAATATTTGCATTCTAATTATGCATGCGCTTTTTTGCTGAGTGGGGGTCTGTGGTAGTTGCTGATAGTCTTCCTCACTGTGTTTACTGAATGACCTCGGTGCCTGCATATGCTTGCAAGGTCCTAGTGATGAGTTAGCAGCTGGTATGTCCTTGCTTCTGTTCTGTTCCTCTCTGGTGGCACCAAGGCTGGCATCTTTGTTCTTATTTACTGTCTCCTTAGTTGTTATCAATCCCATGATGTTCCTTCCCCCATCAGCTGAACATTCCTTTCTCTCTACATGTTAGCAAGTTAGAACAGTTTGCTGTATTTTACTATGTTAGTCTAAAGACATACACACTACTGTTAGTTTAAGCCTGCAATCTGATTACTTTTATACCAGGGTTAGAACATAGCTGGCTACGTAAGTGAGCCCCACTCTTCATCACTGTGCTAACTTTGTGCTATGTCCAACCCTAAGCTGGTTCTGCTGTATAGTTTTATAGGTCTTCAGTTAGAGTGTGGAGAGATTTGTTTGAATTTACAGTGGAAAATGAGTTAGTCCCTAACTTTATTATTCCCTTTAAGAATCAGAGTTTATAATTTAGCAAAGATGATTGTCCTATATTTTAACACATGTGCTGCATAAAACAGAAGTGGCCTACGAGCCCTGGCTTAGGTTGGTATTTTGCACAGAACTGGATCCAAAGGGAATTTGAGTGTTTACAAGCTAGGCATTGTGAAAGCTAAGTATCTAAGGTAAAGCTGAAGGGAACATCAAGAAATATCAGAGCAGTGCTTCAGAAAAAGCTCTTCTCTAAGAGATCGTGTAGAGCTAAACAATAAGGAAGTATTGGTTGCAGGTCTGTATCCTAAACCCCATACCTCTCTAGGATTTAGGTTCTTATTTTAGGATTGAAAAATACCTCTGCCCCAAATTCTGTCTTAAGGACTAGTACTCACCACCACCACCCCTACCCCAAGTCAGATGGGATTTATACCCTCATGAAAACTGGTAAAGGATGATAATATTGTTAGGACCTGTCTCTTAGAGTAACCATTGTGCTATGATCTACCCGCTGAAGTTCACTAATTTTACATGGGGATCTTCTCTTTGAAATTTGAGATCTGTAGTAAGGAGTGGAAAATTAATGGGGAAAGAAAGGAAATAGCCTTATAGTGGAATGATTATCACCTTCACCTGGGAACGGGAAAGCCTTTGTTTCCAGTATCTGCTTCCAGAGATGTTTTGAAATGTGTGCATTTGGTTTTTTATTGTTCTGTTTTTTAATTTATTTTCTCTATCAGCTTTAAGTGATAGCTGAACAAATCACTATTATGAATGCAAGATGCTTAAAATATCCCTTCTTTGATTTTTTTATATATATATATAGACACAAAGCCATAATTGAGATAGTATAGCAACAGTACTTGAGGCAGAACTGACTTACTCAAACAGTTTGAGCTACTTTGGTTTAAAACTCCTATTCTTTTTTTAGTAACCTTTTTGTTTTTGTTTAGATTTGTAAAACTAAAATTCAGTTTCATCTTAGAGAGATTGTTCCTTCACTCTTTTTCTAACACCCACTGTTCTTTGTATCTGATGCGAGAAGAAATATTCAGAAAAATAATGTTACGGATATCTTAGTGTTGTTATCAAATCTTGTTATCCTCCAGGTTAAGAATTTCAGAAATCAGACTTCGGTTGGTTTTTTGTTGGTTGGTTGGTTGTTTGTGGGGATTTTTTGGATTTGTTTTTTGGGTTTTTTTTTTTGTTTTGTTGTGTTTTTTTTTTCTTTGTTATAAACAAGAATATTAGATTTCAGGCAGGATATCTACAGTAGAGGAAAGAACATGGACGTAAGTAACTGAACTATTAAGGTTTATTTAGAGTGCATTTGGATATTCATACATTAGCAGCACAAATTTTCTCTGTAAAAGGTTAGCGAATGAAAATAAGTTCATCATGATACTTTTCAATTGTCTAGAAGAGATGACAGCATGGACAGAAGAAGAATGCAGAAGCTTTGAACATGCACTTCTGATTTATGGAAAAGACTTTCATCTCGTACAGAAAAACAAGGTTAGTGTTTTACAGTTAAATGGAATAATTGATAGATGATAATGATGCCAGAAATCTGTAAAAGTGATACTTTTTTCAGAAGCCGTGCAGAAGAGTGAAATAAGAACCAACATATTAAAACCAGCATGGCATTTTTTGTGTTACTTTTACCTTTATAATTGGAAAAGCTAAGTTTTACAAGATGAGTCAGTATATTATCTCTGAAATTGACTCTTGTTGACATTGTTTTATGTATTTATATTATGATTTAGTTTAAATGTCTTCGTCTTCTAAAAGTATAGTATTTCCATAGCATTCCAGACAAACAACAATAATGCATACAATAGAACAAATGTAATACTTACTGTCGTGGTTTAAGCCCAGTCGGCAGCCATTCTCTCACACCCCCCCCTTCCTCCCTCTGCTCCCAGAGGGATGGGGAGGAGAATTGAAAGAATGTAACTCCCACCGGTTGAGATAAGAGCCGTCCAGTAACTAAGCTATAATACAAACCACTACTACTGCACCAATAATAATAATGATAAGGGAAATAAAAAGGGAAGAGAATAAAACTGCTCACCACCCACCAACCACTACCCTTATTCGGAGAAAACTCCAGGAACAAACTTGCCAACAAAGTTTTCAAGCTGACAAGCAGGTGTTCTTTATTGCGGCACCGGGAGACACAGGGGATAACTCCTCCTAACGTGTGTCCCCGTATTGCTATACAAGCCATCCTTATATAGTCCCTGGGCATACATACATATTCATGAGCCTACGTATGGATTACATCATTTTCCAGAGAGTTCCCCGCATGCGTACAGAATTGTGGTGGTGGTCTCTGAGGGTCGTTTACTTCTTCCAACAATCTTGATCACTTCTGGCAGCCTTTGAAGCACGCGCAGTAGATGCTCATACCAGTTTATTGGTTCATTAGCACCAGAGACATAATAATCCTCCTGTCCTCCTATTTATCAGTTAGTTTAACTGTAGCCCATCCTGGACACCTGCCATTCCCAGATACTCCTTATCCCTGTGTCCTGTTCTTCTAGACTGTTTTTCTTAAAACTAGGCCAACTATAACGATTTATCTTGTGAGAATTCTCAGTATGTTCTCTAGCTGTACTCTATTTTTTTTCTCTATGTATCATGCACCTCAGTAATTTTCCATTGCTACTGTTACAAAGCCATCAAACTCAACATTACTTAAAACTAATTCTAAAGGTTTCTATATTCCATTTTGTGATTTTGTGCCCCTTTGTCTCAACCCAGCCTGACCGAACTGTGCTCTAGCCCTTCCGGGTAACTGCCCCCAGTTCTACATCCTGGGCATGATGTGCTGTCGTATGGAATACCTCTTTGGCTAGTTTGGGTCAGGTGTCCTGTCTCTGGTTCTTCCTGGCTTCCCCTCCTCCCTGGCAGAGCATGAGACTCAAAGTCCTTGGTCAGACTAAACATAATTTAGCAAGAATTAAAAAAATTAATGTTATCAGCACTGCTTCCAGGCCAAATGTAAAAAACAGCACTGCACCAGCTACTAAGAAGGAGAAAAATGATTGGTACTGCTTAACCCAGGGCAGTATCCACCCTTAATTCCATACCTTTCATGTCATGCTCAGATCCCACGTTTTCAGTATACCATCACTCTTATGTATATACACACACACATATATATATATGTACACACACATATATATACATCCACAGACACAGAGAGAGAGAGATCATTCCTTAGTGCATGGACCAATCCCTATAAAGCTGCTGAGTCCATCCAGTGCATGATGTCAGGCTCCATCTCTTGTAACAGTCTTTCAGAGCCAGGAGAGTGTTATGTAGTCAGTCTGCCAGGTCTCCTCATATTTGTACTTTAGCTGTCGTCCTTCATAACAAAGAGGCTGCTAAGTCCACCCCTCAATCAGTAGTCCATCTCTATGTTGCATCTCTGCCCTGATGGCCTGAAGGGTCATGGGCCCACCAGGCTCAGAATAATTCACCCTCTCCTTCAGCAGTTTTTGCAGCTTGTCATAGGGGACTCCATATAGCTGCCTTAAATCTCTGACGTTTCCAAAGCACTGGAGGGGACAAGTGGGCTAGATACTTGCCCGTACTGTCCGACATGCCCTGCCACTCATGACTGTCCAGACTTGGGGACAATCTCTTGGTCTTCCTCTGTCGTCGCCTAATCCTAGAAAAGACCCAAACCTGACTCTGCTTAACTTTTGATGTCAGACAAAATGGTCATTGTTAAAACACAGTCTGTATGTGTGCCAACATGCTGATCTCCATCACAATCATCAGGCAGGTCTCAAGGGTACCCAAAGGCCATTTAAAACCATCAGAACTCTCAAATGATGCTGCTGTTCTTGTCACTGGGGCTGGTGTAGCTGCTGTGCTTGGAGTTGGATTAGCTGTGCTGTCTGCTGGGGTTGGAGTTTGAGTAGCTGCTGTGCTTGTCACTTGGGTGTGTGGGAATGTCTCCCTCATAGGCTGATCACCCGAGGAGGGGGGAAAAAGATGTGTAATTGCTATACACTTCTGTTATATACCTCCCCAAGTATAGAGGTGGTGACCACACTGGGAACGCAAGCCAGATCAGTTTCATGATCAATGATTCTATTGTATTACAAGTCATTGTCATAAAGTACAGTGAAACAAGAACCTTAGCCCAAAGCCCCCAGCAGATAAACACTAACACAGCAAATACTGGCTGTAAGTAAGGTATGACATGCTGAAACTGCGAGATCAAGAGCAACATCTTTGAAAGCCAATAAATCAGCATTGTGAGGAGTGATTATTAATCTGAAACAGTGAATGCTTATCATAAATACAATTACACACTGTCATCAGATCTGTTGTTATCTCAAACCTGTGTGCCTCACGTTGGGCACCAAAAAGAACTGTCATGGTTTAAGCGCAGTTGGCCTCCGTTTCTCGCCCCCCTCCTCCCTCTGCTCCCGGAGGCATGGGGAGGAGAATGGAAAGAATGTAACTCCCATGGCTTGAGATAAGAACAGTGCAGTAACTAAGGTATAACACAAACCACTACTGCTACCACCAATAGTAATTCATTCATTCATGGCTTGACTTCGCGAACGAAGATTTGGGAAGGGCATTTACCCACGCTTACTACAAGTGCGCTGATGACTAAGAAGGCCAATGTGGGATAGGCAAATCCGGCTACAAAAAGCACAGCAGAAGGTCTCCTTGGGTGGAACAGGTGGGACACGATTCTTCCTGCGTTGTCTTTTCTCCTCGAGACTAGTTCTTCGTGAACTCTCAAAGGAGTCAGCGGCATTATGTATGGTGTGCCTCCAAGTCTCCTGATTGGAGGCCAAGGTGGACCACTGATGGTAGTCAATATGGCCAAGGCTAAGGTATTGTTTCAGGGAGTCCTTGTATCTCTTCTTTGGGGCACCTCTCTTGCGGCTACCAGTGGCAAGTTCACCATAAAACACGATCTTGGGGAGGCGGTGATCCTTCATTCTAGAGACGTGCCCTGCCCAGCGCAGCTGCAATTTCAGCAATATGGCCTCGATGCTGGTGACCCCTGCCTGTTCGAGGACAGTGACATTAGACACATAGTCAGTCCAATGGATGTTTAGAATTGTACGGAGGCAGCGCTGATGAAAGCGTTCCAGGAGTCGCAGGTGATGACGGTAGATGACCCATGATTCAGACCCATATAAAAGAGTAGACAATACAGTGGCTCTGTAGACACTGATCTTTGTACTTTTCTTCAGGTGTTTATTACACCAGACTCTTTTATGGAGTTTTCCAAAGGCTCTATATGCCTTTGCTATTCTGCTGTCTATCTCTTTGTCGATCGTGGCATCCGAGGAAATGATGCTTCCCAGATAGCTGAACTGCTGAACTGTCTTAAGCTCTGACTCGCCGATGGTAATATGGGGATGGCGATGATCTTCTTGGGGTGCAGGTTGGTAGAGGACTACTGTCTTCTTCAAGCTGACTTCCAGCCCAAAAACCTCAGCCGCCTCCGCAAAGCAAGATGTTAAACGCTGCAGAGCTGCTTCTGTGTGGGCAACAAGGGCTCTTAAGAGACTCTTAAGGCCATACAGCAGGTGAAAACTGGCAAGGCAGCTGGGGTTGACGGAGTCCCACCTGAAATATGGAAGCATGGAGGCCAAGCACTCCACGCTAAATTTCATGAGCTAGTTGTGTGCTGTTGGGAACAAGGCAAAATACCGTCAGACTTTCGTGACGCAGTCATCGTCACTCTGTATAAGAAAAAAGGTGCCAAGTCAGACTGCTCAAACTACCGTGGTATAACTCTGCTCTCCATTGCTGGTAAAATTCTTGGAAGAATACTATTGAACAGACTAGTACCTGCCATCGCAGAAGAACTTCTACCTGAAAGTCAGTGTGGTTTCAGGGCTAATAGAAGTACCACAGACATGGTATTTGTTCTCAGACAACTGCAAGAAAAGTGTAGAGAACAGAATAAGGGGTTATACGTAACTTTCGTTGACCTCACCAAAGCTTTTGACACTGTGAGCAGGAAAGGCTTGTGGCTGATCTTAGAACGATTAGGTTGTCCCCCCAGGTTCCTCAAAATGATTATTCTCTTACATGAGGATCAGCAAGGCCAAGTCAGGTATGGTGATGCACTCTCTGAGCCTTTCCCAATAACCAATGGTGTGAAACAAGGTTGCGTTCTCGCACCGACCTTATTCACAATCTTCTTCAGTGTGATGCTCCAAAGGGCTACAGCAGACCTCGACGAACAAGACAGCATTTATATTCGATATCGTACCGATGGTAGCCTATTCAATCTAAGGCGACTGAAGGCCCACACTAAGACCCTAAACCATCTTGTCCGTGAACTGCTCTTTGCTGATGATGCCACCACCAATAGTAATAATGATAAGGGAAATAACAAGGGAATAGAATACAACCACTCACCACCTGCTGACCAATACCCAGCCTGACCGAGCAGTGATCTAGCCCTTCCAGGTAACTGCCCCCATTTCCACATCCTGGGCATGATGTGCTATGGTATGGAATACCTCTTTGGCTAGTTTGGGTCAGGTGTCCTGTCTCTGCTTCCTGCTGGCTTCCCCTCCTTCCTGGCAGAGCATGACATTCTGAAATTCCTTGGTCTGGGTAACCATTTGAGCAGTAACCAAAAACATTGGTGTTATCAGCACTGTTCCCAGGCTGAAAGTCAAAACTAGGGCACTGCACCAGCCACTAAGAAGGAGAAAAATAACTGCTGCTGCTGAACCCTGGACACTTACTTAGAATATTTCAGTTGGCAGGGACCTACAACAGTCATCTAATCCAACTGTCTAACCTCTTTAGAGCTGACCAAGAGTTAAAGCAATTTATTAAGGGCATTGTCCAAATGCCTCTTAAACACTGACAGACTTGGGGCATCAACTGCGTTTCTAGGAAGCCTGTTCTAATGTTTGACCATGCTTTTGGTAAACATATCTGAAACTATAGATCTTTTTCTAAGTCTCCTGATTTGTTTTGTTCCAGGTACTAGAACACTAAAACTAACAATATTGCAAGAATAGGGGATTTTGGGAGAGTACAAAATGGACTTCTTTGCATTAGTCTTGTCAATTCTTCTTGCCGCCTTTTAGGTAAGAACCAGAACAGTTGCTGAGTGTGTGGCTTTCTATTACATGTGGAAAAAGTCAGAACGTTATGATTACTTTGCTCAGCAAACAAGATTTGGAAAGAAGAGATATAACCATCATCCAGGAGTTACGTAAGTAAAACATTCTTGGAATATGTTTTCTGTTGTAAATGGTAAATGTAGAAGATAGTTTTTAATTGCCTTCATTGCAGTGTAATGCTGAAGTGCCTGTTGCAAATGAAATTAAATCTGTCATCATTTTTAGGCCTTGTTTTTCTGTTAAGTAACTCATTATGAATACCATATTCTTTAAGGGACTACATGGATCGTTTGGTAGATGAAGCAGAAGCCCTTGGAGAAGTACATTCTTCAGCCTTAACATCTCGTACTCGAACAGAAACTATTCCTGATCAACAGCTAAACATTCTGAACTCTATTACTGCTAATGAGCTGACAGGTAAAGTAAGAGGAAAAAAAACAACAAACCAACCCTCACAAAACCTTTCTGTTTGTCCTTGTTTAAGCCTAGCCAGCAACTAAGTGCCATACAGCCACTTGCTTGCTCCCCCCCAACTTTCCCTCCTGAGACAGATGAGGAGGTGAATCAGAAGAATGTATAACCCATGGGTTGTGATAAGAATGGTCTAATAATTTGCATTAAGTAAAATTATAATAGAAATAATACCAATAATAACAATACTAATAATAATATTAATAGGGAGCAACAAAAAAAAAAGGAGAAAATGAAAGTGATGCACAGTACAGTTGCTCACCACCCATTGACCGATACCCAGCCTGTCCTGAGCAGCGATTGGTCCCTTCAGGATAATTCCCCCCAGTTTATATATTAGACATGAAGTGCTGTGGTATGGAATGCCCCTTTGGCTAGTTTGGGTCATGTATCCTGTCTGCTCCCTCCTGGCTTCTTGTGCCCCTCCTCACTAGCAGAGCATGAGAGACTGAAAAGTCCTTGATCAAGGTAAGTGCTACTTAGTAACAACTAAAACATTGTTGTGTTATCAGCATTATTCCCAGACTAAAGCCCCAAAACAAAGCACTGCACCAGCTACTGGGAAGAAAATTAACTCTATTCTAGCTAAAATCAGGACAGTATCTGCCCCTTATTTATGTCATGCTCAGGCCCCACACTTTACAATAAACCATCACCTTTTCTGTCTTTTTTTTTTATTTATACACACACACTCTCGCATATCCACATACAGATATCATTCCCTTCGCCTACAGATCATCCCTATAAAAGTCTGTTGGGTTTATTCAGTCAATGATGTCAGGCTTCATCTGTTGTAACAGTGTTTCAGGGCAGGAGAGATGGTATACAGTGCTAGATTGTTGCCTGCTGCAGCCAGTTCTGATTTCATCACCACTGTGCTTACCCAGCTTCCTTAAAATTCATTCTTTGTTAGTATAATGATCAAAAGGGAGCTAGGTTCAGGCCCCAATCTCTGCAGTGCTGGAGGTGACTTCTAGCTGCTGTGGACAACTTCTAGCACCTATATAACACTTTGAGCTGCTATGGAAGTGTTATATAGCAGTCAATAGCATAAAATAGAGTTCATTGGTGACATTTACCTAAAATCAAATTCCCTTGAGGTACATACTGGATTTCCCCATTTCCTCCATTGCCCACCAAGTGCACACAGGTCCTGGAGAAAAAGCAGTCCCACAAATGGGTTTCCCTTTGCCTGTAGCAGGAATATCCCAGACTGTCTTCTCCAGCATATTCTTTAGGTGCACCAAAGGAACATTATCCTCTTCTAGAGTATGTAAAAGTTTTGATTGGGCCAGGTCAGCCTGATTGGCAGATCCACTAATATTGACTAACAAAGGTGGCTTCTGCTAAATGTATATCCCAATGTTTGAAAGCCCCAATACCCATTGCTCTCAGTGCAGTCTTCAACAGTCCATTGTACCGTTTGATTTTCCCAGAGGCTGGTGTGTGATAGGGGATGGGATATAACCTCTCAGTGCCATGCCCTTTGGATCAAGTTGTTCTGGAAATGAGTCCCGTTCTCTGACTTAAATCTTTCCGGGGTGCTGTGTCACCACAAAACTTGTATTTCAAGATCCGGGAAGGTGTTCTTAGCAGTGGTATGGGGTACAGTGTGTGTTTCCAGCCATTCAGTTGTTGCTTCTGTCATTGTAAGCACTGGGGCAGGTTGGTGGGAATGTGATATAATAAATCTGCAAGGCCTTCCTATATTTGTACTTCAGCCATCGTCCTCCATACCAGAGAGGCTTTAACTGCTTGGCTTGCTTAAATGAGGGACATGTTTTGCATTCATGAATAACCTGGGTGATAGCATCCATGGACAAGTCCATCCCTAAATTACAAACCCCTCTATGTTGCATGGCTTGAAGTACCATGGACCCTTTGGGCTAAAACTAATTCAACTTTATGCTGCCAGTCTAGATCTGCACAAGCCACTTCAGTCTTAGCAGCCTGATATATGTGTTGGTTATTCTGATGTTCCTCAGTGGCCCAACTCTTGGGTACCTGAGCATATAACTGGTGTACCTTCATCATCAGGTTCTGCACCCGGGCAGCGATATCTTGCCACAGTGCAGCAGCCCAGATGGGTTTACCTCAGCCTTGCCAGTTGTTCTGCTTTCATTGCTGCAACTACGCCCACAGGGCATTTGCCACCATCTATGAGTCAGTATAGAGAGAAAGTAATGGCCATTTTTCTCATTCAGCAATGTCCAAGGCCAGCTGGATGGCTTTCACCTCTGCAAACTGACTCGACTCGCCTTCTCCTTCAGCAGTTTCTTCAACTTGTCGTAGGGGACTCCATACATCGCTGATGCTTTCCCACAATGCAGCAGGACCCATCAGTAAATGAGGCATATTGTTTCTCACTTTCTGACAGTTTATTATGCAGTGGTGCTTCTTCAGCATTTATCACCTCCTCTGACATTCTGAAATCATTATCCTCTGGCCAGTCCGTGATGACTTCTAGGATTCCAGGATGATTGAGGTTTCCTATTTGGGCTTGTTGTGTGATTAGTGCAACCCACTGAGGGGTTGACCTCAAGTCTCCCCTGGAGCTTTCTGACAGAGGCTCCAGGTAGGACCTTTCTCCCCAGTGGTGGTGTAAAACACATTTTTCACATCTTGCCCAGTCCGGACTGGTGCAAGGGCTACTGCATGAATTATCTCCCATTTAATTTGTTGAAAGGCTTGTCATTGCTCAGGACTCCGCTTGATATCATTTTTTTCTGATCATGGGCCTATAATCAGACTGTAATTTGGGATGTGCATTCTCCAGAACCCCACAACACCTAAGAAACTTGTGCTTCTTTCTTATTAGTTGGTGGAGACATTGCTGTTATTTTGTCGTGTCTATTGGGTTCTGACAGTGTCCATCTTGCTATTTTATTCTCAGAAATTGATTTTTCCTGTGCAGGTCCCTTAACCTTACTTTGTTTTAATGCAAAACCGGCCTTCAGAAGGATTTGGATTATTTTTTTCTCTTTCTAAAAACTACTTCTGTTGTATTGCTTTACACAATGATGTCGTCAATGTATTGTCAGTGTTCCAAAGCTTCTCTCCATTACAGTACGTTCTGCATAAGTCTGTGACCGATGGTAGGGCTGTGTTTCCACCTCGGGGGCAGTCAGTTCTAAATGTACTGGACTTTAGTGTTATGGGGATGAAAATAGTTGTGCTGCCAATTGCTGGAGTTTGTGTAGTCATGGTACTGGTCATTAGTTTGTGTAGCTAGGGTGCTTGTGGAAATTGAAGTGGTTCTAATGCTTGTTGCTGCAGTATGAATTGCCATAGTTTGTGCACCTGGGATTTGAGTAGCTATAATGTGTGTAGCAAGGACTGAAGTAGCTGCAGTCCTTGTCGCTGGAGTTTGAGTAGCTACAGTGCCTGTCACTCGATTTTGAGTCCCTTTTTTTTTCCTCCTTTGAGCCACAGTGCTTCTTATAGTGGTTGGAGTAGCCACATGTAGCTATTTTAACCCTAAGCAAGATCTGAGCCATATTCAACAGTGTGCTGGTTCCTAGCAAAAGAACCAAGCTGGTTTCAAGGCTATACAAAGGGTATTCAAAATTGTTAAAATACATGGATACTGCTGTAATTATCCCGGAGGAGGATATAGGAAACTGAAGGAAGATGTTTCTGTTACCAGTTGGCTTTCAGAGAAAAGGCCAAAGGTGTAATCATTAGTAGTTCCCACCAGATGGCTCTCGAGGGACAAGGGTGATAACAATACTGAGTGCACATACCACATTAGTCTCATGATCAGCAATTCTGTCATCATAACCCAGCACTGCAGAGTATAACAGAATTATAACTAAGCCCAAGCCCCACGAATAAACATTACCCCAGGGACCACATATGACAAGAACAGTATTACATAGCAAACCAGTGGGCATGAACTCTGAGAACAAATGAAGCAACACTGGCCAATGACTATTACAATATAATGAATGCTTATACCAGAATTGTTTTAACATTCTCTGGTCGTATCCATCTTTATGTCAACCCTTTGAGCCCCATGTTGGGCACCAAAAATGACTGTCATAGTTGAAATCTAGCTGGTAACTTAAGTACCATGTAGCTGCTCGCTCTCTCGCACACACCCCCTTCCCTCCTCCCTGGGTGGGATGGGAAGGAGAATTGAAAGAATGTAAAACTTGCAGGTTGAGGTAAGAACTGTTTAATAATTGAAATTGAGTAAAATATAATGATAACACCAACAAAAACAATGCTGATAATAATGATAGGGAACTCCCCCCCACCCCTCCCAGTTTGTATACTGGGCATGACGTGCTATAGTATGGAATACCCATTTGGCTAGTTTAGGTTGGGTATCCTGTCTGATTCCTCGTGGCTTCTTGTGCCCCTTCTCACTGGCAGAGCATGAGAGACTGAGAAGTCCCTGATCAGGGTAAGTGCAACTTAGTAACAACTAAAACGTGTATTACTAGCATTATTCCCAGACTGAAGCTAAAACACAGTGCTGTACCAGCTACTAGGAAGGAAATTAACTCTATCCCAGCTGAAACCAGGACATTGTTGTGACTCTATAAGCAACTATCTTGTTTACATTTTGTGTTCATCTTTTCTAGCGTTGACAAGCAGTGTAGCTACAGTCTGCCATGATTCAGATGTGAACTGCCTGGATGATACCTTTCCTCCTATGGACAGCTTACCCCGAGCACCGGTTAATCATGTGCCTGTTGGAACAGAGGAATTGCTTAACTTGCCTAGCAGTGGTGAAAGTGATTGTTTTAATTTGTTTGAGACTGGCTTTTATCATTCAGAGCTAAACCAAATGAACACATGCAGTGAGGAAACAGAAAGACCTGTGAAGAGATTGAAAATGGGGATTGCTGTCCCAGAATCTTTCATGAATGATGTCTCTGTAAATAATCTTGGTGTGGACTTTGATAACCATGCACACCATATTACCAGTGCCAAAATGGCTGTTTCAGTGGCTGACTTCAGTTTATCTGCAAATGATACAAATGGTTTTATTAGTACCCACGCTCTTCACCAACATACAGCCCTTCACTCAGAATGACTGTGGAAAACTAAACAAACAGTGGGTACTTTATGCAGTAGTAGTAAACTTAATGGGAACTATCAGGTTTGCCTAGTCTTTCACTGGAAGTTTGAATTTTGACATCAGTGATGTCTCTTCATGTATAGAACTATATCTTGATTTATCAAGAGTAATTTCTTTTTTCAGTCCATAAATGTGGAAATGTTTGGTAGAATTTGGGACTGTAGAGAGAGGCCACCATTTCAAAACCAGCACAGAAGTTCTGAACTTATTGGAGTGGCTTTTTAGTCTAAGTTACTTTTGCCATAAGAGATACAGTGTAACAACATTTACAGGTACTGATGCTGATTCTCTGCTCAATGTAGCTCCCACCCTCTTATAAAGGGAGGTATGGGTTTCTCTAACTTAAACTGCACAAATATAAAAGGATTTTTTTTTTTAATGGAACCTTCTCTTATGTGATACTAGAGTACTTCAGTTTAAAACCCAGCAAGTTCATCTTGGTGGAAGCTAGCACAAGGGACTTAACATGAGTAAAGTATGAAGACCTACACTCGGATGCTGTTGCAAAATTATAGACCATGGCTACCTTACATAGAAGTAATTACGCTGTCAGTTATCTGTGTACTTTAAACTTACTAGCTTAAACAGATGCATCGTAGGCTATTGTATTCAGATGGGGTTTGTCCACAACTTTGAAGATTAATGCACCTGTGTAACTTAACTTTCCTAAGGCAGCTGATGTATGAAAGCTATAGTCTGCACAGTTTAGGATTTACCACTAAACAAACAGTCTGTGTTTTGGAAGACATCTTAAATTATTTGGAACACTGCAGTTCAAAGTGTTACAGTTTTGAGGGACTAACTAATTTTATTAAATTAGAACATTGAAGTAGGTATCTAAAAGTTTTTCTTCAAAGTGGATTGCATCTATTTGTTTTGGCAAGTCACTGGCTCAAAAATGGCACTTAACTACATTGGTCAAATAAAGGAAAGGATAAGTAAAAATGTTTCCCATAAAAGCAACTATTTAACTTGAGTAATTTTTTACTTTGAACATTGACTGCAATTTAGTCATCCGCAAAGTTTGTCTTGCAAATGTTTTTTTCCAATTCTTGTGGAAGAACGTTACTTCAGTAGAATGGCCTCTTTCCCTCTGTACTTTTTCTTTGCACTGTTTGTATTACAAATTTAATTGCCACTAATTTGTTTTCATTATTGAAGTAATTAAGTTTGTGTTGGTGATATTTGTAATAGTTGCTTCAAAGTTATGCTGAGTAATTAGAAAGTAGTGACTTTAATAATTGGAAGGGAAGAGGGTATTATGTGTACTGTGAACTGTATTGATATCCTGAGTTTCAAATGCAACATATGGAGTTTTCTTTATAGCACTGTAATGAAGATTGTCTTGAAGCATTTATGCAATAGCACATTTACCATGTTAAAAGGAATTTGTTTAGCGCAGTGGACAAAAATAATTTTGTAATCACTTCTTAGCATATACATCTGAAATATGTAATTCTAGTAAGTACACAGTTAATGGGTAGCCTTGGCCCTGTGTTGTACTCTTGACATTTTTAGCCAAGTTGTCAGCTTCTTGTTGCTGTGTTTTGTGCTGAACACACCTTGTTTATTTTGTTTTGAAACATACCTTGTTTTGAATGTTTTTACCTTGGTATGTTTTGAAACATACCTTGTTTCTTTTGTTTATGAATCAACACATTTTATGTAATTTTGTAAAATACTGACCATAATCCTTCATTGTTATACGTTCAAATTTATGGGTTTACAGAAAGTGGCTGGTCTGTATAAAAAACATACAAAGATTACTGAATGGTTATACCAGTTGCACTTAAATGAACATGCCCATTCTTATTAGCTGATACAGTAATATATTCAATTTATCTATGCATTGCTGGGCTCTTAATGTAGATGGAGTCTTGTCTAAGGTTTGGGTTGTCAGCAAGTTGAATGGACACTTTAGTTATTAAATACTTTTGACCAAAATTCAGAAAATGAGAGAAAAAATAATTCCAGCTAGTCTAATAGATTTTTAGATGCTGATCATATTTAGCCTGTTGGCTAGCTAGCTGATATTGTTTACTTTTAATTCCTTGTTAAAATGAGGCAATAATTTGCAAGATTTTGTAAATATGTAAAATCTTCATATCTTTAGATACCTGTTTCAATATTTTCTGACTACTTATGTGTATAGTAACATTTTTGTGTGTGCTTGATGTAGCATTCATAAATTTGTACCCCTATGACTTTATCCATGTCAAATAGGTATTTATTGATTTTTTTTTTCTTTCAGAAGCTGGATTTAATTATTTTTCTCTCAGTTTAAACATTTAAAATTGAGAACTTGTTGCTGTTTATTAAAAGAATTGTGTTTTGAAAGTCAGCATGAAGATAAATTAATTTCAACTGTATGAAGAAATTGTATTGCCTTGGTTCTTTGATGGTGAAGCACAATTCTTATAATAAACTGATGAATACTTTGTCCTCTGCCGTACTTTTTCTTTATACAAACAAACCAAAAATCCATAATGGGCAATTGCAATGTTGGTAAATATATTCTTTTTATATACAGGGAATCTGAAGAGGTTAGCTGATTAATTTAAAAGTGTAAATTGGCATTTTGATTATAGCAGTATTTTTACTTTGGTTGCATGTATGTCATCTTTTCATGCTAGGTTTTTAAATGTTAAGTTTTTCTCTTGTTATGGTCAAACTGCTGAATTTACTTGGAGGATACTAAATTGTATACTATTAGGTCAAAGAATTGTGCAATTGTTTCCTGTTTTGAATTTTTAAAACTGAGGGTCAAAAATGTAGTAGTGATACTACTAATTTAACCAAAGTTTTTAGGTGAATATTTCAACTTTGAATGTAAACTAATGGATAAACTGACCAACAGGGACACTATTTGCCCAGCATTACAAGCACATTGTCTACAGATGGGGAAACTAAATACAGTAATTTATAAAATAATGACAAGGTTACTATACTTTTTTTTTAATATTCCTGGTTTTCATTGGAAGAAGGAAAATGCTATCAACTGTAAAATACAGTAGGTATGGTTATAGCCCTCTTAATAAAACAGTTTCCAGTTATTCAAAGTACATACCCTATGCATAATAACATCTTTAGTGAAAATTGGAACATGTTTTTAATATCAGATGTTCAAGAGGAAGTTGCTGTTGTTGCGTTGGTTTTAATATTTGAACATAAACACTGATTTTTTTTTAAGCATTATTTTGTATTTGTTGTACTTTAATACCTGGTGTACAAGTCCAGAAATAAATGTCTGGAAACTTTTCTTTACTTGTAAAGCCTTTCACGCATCTGCATTATGTCTGCTACTTCCTTTTCAGATTTATTTAGCAAAACGTGTTCAGTTATTAAGATACTTGCATACTGTTGAAGTGCACACTACCACTTTACCTCATGTACAGATGAAAAATTCTATAAGCAGCTGGGAGAATTTTCATGATTGTTAGCACTTGTTCTTGCAGGGGACTTCAATTTTCCAGATGTCTGCTGGAAATACAATACAGCAAAGAGGAAACAGTCTAGGAGGTTCCTGGAGTGTAAGATAACTTTTTGACCCATCTGGTGAGTGCCCTGCTGGACCTGTTCTTTGCAAACAGAGAAAGACTTGTGGGTGATGTGATTGTTGGAGGCTGTCTTGAGTACAGCAATTATGAAACGATGAAAGTTTCGATTCCCAGAGAAATAAGGAGGGGGGCTAGCAAAACTTGGACTTCTGGAGTGCTGACTTTGGCCTGTTTAGGGGCCTGGTTGACAGTTCTTTGGGAGGCAGTCCTCAAGGACAAAGGAGTCCAGGAAGGCTGGACATTCTTCAAGAAGGAAATCTTAAAGGTGCAGGAGCAGGCCGTCTCCATGTGCCAAAAGACAAGCCAGCATGGAAGACGACCAGCCTGACTGAACCAAAGGTTTGGCTCGAACTGGAGCGAAAAAAAATAGAGTTTATAACCTTTGGAAGAAGGGGCAGGAAACTCAGGAGGACTACAACAATCTTGTGAGGTTATGCAGGGAGAAAATTAGTAGGGGCAAAGCCCAACTAGAACTTAATCTGGCTACTGCCGTAAAAGACAATTAAAAATGTTTCTATAAATACATTAGCAACAGAAGGAGAGCCAAGGAGAATCTCCCTCCTTTATTGGATGTGGGGGAAAACAGTGACGAAGGCTGAGGAAAAGGCTGAGGTACTTAATGCTGCCTTTGCCTCGGTCTTTAATAGTAAAACCAATTGTTTTCAGGGTACCCAGGCCCCTGAGCTGGAAGACAGGGATGGGGAGCAGAATGAATCCCCCATAATCCATGGGGAAATGGTTAGTGACCTGCTACACCACTTAGACACAGGTCTATGTGACCAGTTGGGATCCACCTATGGGTACTGAGGGAGCCGGCAGAAGTGCTCACCAAGCCAGTTTAAATTATTTATCAGCAGTCCTGGCTAACAAGGGAGGTTCCAGTTGAGTGGAAGTTAGCAAATATGGTGGCCATTGACAATAAGGGCCAGAAGAAGGATCTGGGGAACTATGGGTCTGTCAGTCTGACCTTGGTGCTAGGAAAGTTTATGGAGCAGATGGTCCTGAGTGCCTTCATGGGGCATGTATAGGACGAGCAGGTGATCAGGCCCAGTCAGAATGGGTTTATGAAAGGCAGGTACTTTTTGACTAACCTGATGTCTTCCTATGACAATGTGACCTGTTTAGTGGCTGAGGGAAAGGCAGTAGATGATGTCTACCTGGACTCTGTAAAACCTTTAACACCATTTCCCACAGCATTCTCCTGGAGAAACTGGCTGCTCATGGCTTTGACAGGTATACTTTGCTGGGTAAAAGACTGGCTGGATGGCTGGGCCCAAAGAGTGGTGGTAAATGAGTTAAATCCAGTTGACAGCTGGTCACAAGTAGTGTTCCCCAGGGCTCAGTATTGGGGCCAGTTCTGTTTGATATCTTTATCAATGATCTCAATGAGGGGATTGAGTATACCCTCAGTGAGTTAGGTGGGAGTGTTGATCTGCTTGAGGGGATAAAGGCTCTGCGGAAGAATCTGGACAGGCTGGACCCATGGGCTGTCAAGACCCGACTGGAGAAAACCCGGTTGCTGGACCCTGTTTCAGTTTGTGATCCCAAGAGTGAAATTAAGACACAAATGAGGTCAAATACCATAATAGATTAGTAAGTTTATTACAAAAAGACAGTTATTATAAAAAAGGAAAATTATTGTAATAAAGGGGATAGCGATAGGACAGATTGGAAAAAAATGTAGAAAATTAAACAAGGATTTGGGGTGCAGAGAGAGAGAGAGAGAGAGAGAGAGTGGTTCACCACCATGGATCCAGCAACATCCTGGGGATTCATTGTTGGTGGTGGTAGTTTTTTAGAGTTTGTAGTCAGTGTCAGAACAGAGTGTCCCCCAAGAGTCCATAGTAGTCGGTGGTGGGTGTCCTCATGGAGGTGCCCTTATGGAGTCTTTCCCTTGAAGGTACCCCATGGAAGTGTCCTGATGGAGTTGCTCTCATGGTAATGCCTCATGGAGGGTGTCCCTCAGGGTGTGTAGTAGTCATCGGTGGAGGCTGTCCTCACGGAGGTGTCCTCCTGGGGTCATCCTCGTGGCAATGGCTCCCTGATGATGTGCTTCTTGGTAATTACCTTTTTCCTTTTTTATAATGGGTTTGGGCGAGTACCTCTGTTCTCCATGTCATGAATTACACATTCCTGGTGGAGTTGCCCTGGTCTTGCAGCCAGCTCTTCAACTGCATGTCTGCAGCAATTCTTGGGATAATGGGTAGCAATTCCTCACACCAATCCTCTAGGTAATGGAGGGAAGAGTCTTAGCTCTTTCCCACTCTTTACTCAGGCAATGGATATTGGAGTCTTAACTTCTCCCACCCATCTCTGAGACAAAAGATAGGTGGAATTCCATCTCAGCTTCTCAGACCAGTCTTTGAGACAATGGGCAGTGGAGTCTGATTTCAGATCACTCTTTCACATGGTCCAAGGCCAACTGAGGTCCAACAGGGTTAAATACCGGGTCTCACACTTGGGTCACAATAACCCCATGCAATGCTACAGGCTTGGGGAAGAGTGGCTGGAAAGCCGGCTGTCAGAAAAAGACCTGGGGGTATTGGTTGACAGATGTCTGAATATGAAGCTGGCAGTATGGCCAAGAAGGCCAATAGCATCCTGGCTTGTATCAGAAATAGTGTGGATAGCGGAACTAGGGAAATGATTGTTTCACTGTACTTGGTATGGGTGAGGCAGCACCTCATGTAACGTGTTCAGTTTTGGGCCCATCACTGCAAGAAATGCATTGAGGTGCTGGAGTGTGTCCAACAAAGAACAGTGAAGCTGGTGAAGGGTCTAGAGAACAAGTGTTATGGGGAGTGGCTGAGGGAACTGGGGTTGTTTATCCTGGGGAAAAGAAGGCTGAGGGAAGACCTTGCTCTCCACGACTACCTGAAAGGAGGGTGTAGCAAGGTGGGTATCAGTCTCTTCACCCAAATAACAAGTGATATGACAAGAGGAAATAGCATCAAGTTTTGCCAGGGGAGGTTTAGATTGGATATTAGGAAAAATT